AAAAAAAAAAAAGGCACATCTTTTGGTAAGTAAGCAAGTTTAATAGTATTGGTTTTATCACTTCTTGGCTAAGATCAAGTATAAATAAAAGACATGTCATCTATTTGTATTAAGTAAAAATATATATTTTATTCTACTTGTATTTGTTCTCCCTATAATTACTCGGGTTTAATAACCAAATAAGCTAACATTACTTCTCACAACATTTAAAAACATTTTTTTAAAACATAAAATAAAAAATACTTTCAGCCTTTTTTAAGTGTATTATTGAGTGCATTAACTACATTCATAATAATGTGTAACCATCTCCACCTCCCATCTCCAGAATTTTTCAACATTCCAGAGATCTATGTAACTTTAAAGATTATAAAAAATGTGATAAGTTTATGTTCAACTGAACTGACTCATTATTTGGACATAGTTTCTATTTCTACTAGACATGTTTTATAGCACATAAGCTGGAAGATAATTTTTGAGATTTTTAATTTGAAGTCTGGGACTGAGTCAATTAATAGATAATTGTTGGACACCTTGATAAGTTCTAAGTAAAAAGAAAATGCTGAAATAGTGATCACAAGGCATCAAATTTGTAATTTCTGAGTCTTATTCCTCCAGGTGGTCAGAGGCAGGAGCTCTGCAAATGCCAGTGTATATGTGCCTTCCCCACCCACCCCTGGTGTGTGTGCGCCTTCCCCATCCACCCCTGGTGTGTGCGTGCCTTCCTGATCCACCCCTGGTGTGTGCGTGCCTTCCCCATCCACCCCTGGTGTGTGTGTGCCTTCCCCATCCACCCCTGGTGTGTGCGTGCCTTCCTGATCCACCCCTGGTGTGTGTGTGCCTTCCCCATCCACCCCTGGTGTGTGCGTGCCTTCCTGATCCACCCCTGGTATGTGTATGCCTTCCTGATCTACTCCTGGTGTGTGCATGCTGTTCCAAACCACCCCTGGTATATGGAAGCCAATTCTCCACTCTCCACTCCAGCCTTCCTGGTGAAACAGAAGTTAATTTGTGAGTAAGCTATATTAGTCCACCTTGTGCTGCTATAAAGAAATGAGGCTGGGTGATTTGGAGTGCCCAAAATCCAAACTATATCATAAGTCATAGAGTTAATGAAAGATTACAGCTACACTAGAAACAGTACAGAACTAGAAACACGTGGTGATATGACTTTTAAGAAAAAAGAATAACCCCTGTCAAGCAGTGAGTCTCAGACTTTTCAGTGTCTGGACATCTTTCCCCAATTGAGACTTGCCCACAGATCTTTGCTTTGTAGGTTAGAACTGGTAATAGTTTCAATACTGGAAGGAGAAACAACATTTCTGAAGACTTAATGACTTCTTTGGAGATCATGTTAACATGAATAATAGCTGAGTATTACCACAAAAACAGTTTTGATCTCATAGACTGCCTGTCAGACAACTGTAGTTTCAAATCTATGTCAATTTGCTCCAGAACACAAGAGGATATAACAAAAGGACAAAGGTTGGAAAGCGAGTACTTTAGTCTGAAAAGCAGCTGTGAAATGAGTTAAATCTTGAATAAAGTCATTTAATTTTGAAAGGTTCACTTCCTCAATTTACTGATCAGTGGCCTTTGCCCACACCATGAAAAGTCACTCTTCACTTTCTATGTAATCTGTGGAGATGGCAAAAATTCGGTTATCTTACCAGAATTTGTTGATCTTTATTTTGACGTCACTCTCTAAAAAGGGAGATCCAGACTGTGTGTCCTTGGCATGAGAGGTGCAGAGTAGTGCTGCATTCCTCTCAGGAAGCCCATCGGGGGCATGTGCGGCTTCTGGCCCCACTGCTGGCCCAGAGGACCAGGAAGGCTCTACCAAGCATCTCCACTGTGAAGTCACTATTTTCACCCTTAGTGGTTAATGAGTGTTTTGGGTCAGGTACTTAAAAACCACACTGCAGGCATAATTTTAAGATGGCCACATGACCTGTCCTCCTAGAGTCCTTCCTATAACTGACCTTATGTTAATGACAAAAGACATAGATTATCCAGATGGGCCTAAGCTATCACACAAGCCCCTTCTAAGTGGTTTTCTGCAGCAGGTAGAGGAGAAAATCAAGGAGACAGGCTTTAAAGTTCTGTGGCTGACTGTGAACATGCCAGGGCTACATGCAGGGACCCAGAAAGGCCTCTAGGAACTGAGAATCACCCCCCTGACCACAAGGCAGCAGTCAGTAAGGACACAGGAGGCCTCGTACTCTATAGGACTAGATCCTGCCAACATGCCCGTTTCAGCCGTTAAGAGACCCAGAGCAAATTACCCAGTTGAGCCCACCTTGTCTTCTCACTAACAGAGCTATTAATATAAAATAATAAATGTGTCTCATTTTAGGCTAAGTTTATGGCAACTTATTACACATCATTTATATCCATACATGCTCATTGCTTCCTATTTGATTCAATAAATTACAATCTATTTCTAAAATCATTTATTTTAATGATCAAATTATCCCCTTTGCCTGTGACATATCCCCCATCATTCTTTGAGTAATCCCTTTTTTCTGCATGTTCCAGAAAACACAATATTCTAGGTTTATGGTATCCATTTCTAGTCCCAAGCTAGAACCCAGGAGTGCAGGTCCCTTTAAATGGAAGATGACACTGGGAAGCCATGGCTGGGTGCCAGGCTTCCTCCGTACTGTAAAGGTGCATACTCTCAGGCAGGCCTTGTTAGGGGACAAAAGTTGTATATGTACAAATGCATTACACATAGCACACACTCATGTCTCTTTCTATGCTGGCTTACACACACCCATAAATGTGCACATACATGTAATGAGGGCACAGAGAGAGAGGGACAGCAGAGAGCTCACACACACACACCAGTCTCAACCCAGCTTCACAGGGGATTCCTGTTTAACCCCCAACATGTAACCAAACCACTACCTCTGCTGCCCTCCTCATCCTACCTGGACCTCCACCCCATGCTGCCCCTCAAGGGAAGTACTACTCCTCACACTCCTAGGGAGCACCACTTTCCCCTGCCCAGTGCCCACCTTCCTCGGCACCACCTGACACCTAGGAACTGATCACTTCAGGGATGGGAGAAGAGAGGGCCTCAAATTACTAACTCACACAAAGGGGAAAACATAATAGGAACAACAGTAACTTTACAACTAGAAAAATATACTGCAGATATATGCTGACCAACAACGGGACCTCCTGCCATCAAGTACTCTGAAGAGGTCCGGCATCAGTTCTGTTTCTGCCAGCAGGGCATAGTCATAATCTCATCATGAAGAAACATCATTGGAATACACACTGAAGACATTGTATAAAACAACTGGCCCGTGACCTTCACAAACATCAAGCTCCTAAGAACTAAGAAAGGCTGAAGAACTAATCCACAGCAAAGGAGGCTAATGAGCTATGACAGCTAAACATAAAGTGTGACACCAGATTGGATTCTGGACCAAGAAGAAGATAGCTAAAAAAGAAATTAACGGGAAAACTGAAAAATCTGCATAAAGACTACGGACTAGAAGAGTATGAATTCATGTTATTTTTCTGGATTTTGATGATGATAATGGGTTATGTAAAAGAACGATGCTGCTCTTAATACACAATGAAGTTTGTAGGTGTAAAGACTCATAATACCTGCAGGTCACTCACAAAAGGCTCAGAAAAAGATCATGTATAAATACACACAAATATACAATCACACAATATACAGAGAGAAATTACACACTATGACAACATAATGGGCAAAATCTTATTAACTGGTAAATCCGTGGAGCAATATTTGTGCCTAGGCAGACAGTTTTTTTCTTTGAATCTTTTTCTAAACTCATTTCTTCTACAATTTTTTTTTAATTTTCTAACTGGCTACAATCAGAGCTCCATCAGTTACATTTTAAAAACCAACAAAAATCAAGTGAAATTAGGTCAAAACACAAAACTGCCATGCAATTTTCTGATGGTTTTACTTCCTGATTGATTTATTCAACAAAAGTTGTGTTTGTTTGAGACAGAATCTCACTCTGTCGCCCTCAACAGAGTGCTGTGGCATCACAGCTTACAGCAACCTCAAACTCTTGGGCTTAAGGGATTTTCTTGCCTCAGCCTCCCAAGTAGCTGGGACTATAGCCGTCCACCACAACACCTGGCTATTTTTTTGTGCAGTTATCATAATTGTTTAGCAGGCCCAGGCCAAGTTCAAGTCCGCCAGCCTCGGTGCATATGGCTGGCGCCCTACTCACTGAGCCACAGGTGCTGAGCCTCAACAAAAGTTTTTTGCAAGGCAATGTACCAGGAGCCATAAAGGGTTCAAGATATTTACTATAGAGTCCTGTCCTTGAAGATTTTATAAATCCTAGTAGGATACAAGTGAACAAAATGAAAAATAGTTTTAATGCATGGATTATATTTCTTATCAGACCATTTATATTGAGATGAATTGGGGAGATAACAAAATTCCAATGAAACATATTTTGAACATGTTGGGTACAAATTTCAAAAGTTCAAAAAAATAAAATCCTACCAGAGTTATCACACAACCAAGTTAATTATGATATACACCCCAATTCTTCTAAATCTTACCTGATAAGGCTGAAGTTTTCAGATATTCATCAAGCCAGGGGAGAATGTCTTTGTAATGAGGCTGAATTACATGTTTGTGGATGTAAACTGACCATTCTTCCAGAGCATTCAAGCCTACTTCTGCCAAGGGGGTATAGCTCAGACCCAGTTTGAAGGCCATCTGCATGTTAATAATACAAATAAGGTAAACTAAAATACAAAGAATATAAAATCTAAAGAAAGCAGCAATAATTCATTGTGGTTTCTAACTTTCTATTGCTGAAACATCAGACACAGAGAGAAGGAAGATAGAGCAAGTCAGGTGATTATGAGGAAAACAAGCTACACCAAGTCTACCCAGCTCCTGGTACACTGCAGACTTATGGCACATGCAAGGTGCAATTCTCACTGACCTCCAAGAGGAGCTCAGAGACACCAAGGTAGGTGCCTAAGCCACAGGACTAGTAAGTGGTAGCAGCAGAGCGTGAGCCAGGTGTGCCTGCTGGGTGAGCACCTGCTGTGGCTGCCAGGGCAACACCCTGTGTTTCCAACAATGCTGACCAGGAGATGGCTTTGTGTGAAGATGAACCTACCTGTAGTGCAGGGACATAGGCTCTAACATCAAGTTCAATGATGTCATGTGGCAGGGACAGAATAAAGGTCAAGCAGGAGGCCAAAAGCTCATCTTTATACTGCTTCATTTTAACTGCTACCTTCATAAGAAAGAAATAGAAAACAAGGCTATGCATCCATAGAGAACCAACAATTTGAAAATCAATTAAAAATATTTGCCCTGTTTTCAAATATGAAAAAGTGACATGCAGCCTTTATTTGACATGACTGCAGTCACTTACAAATAAAGCACAAACCTCTAGGAAACATTAATTTGTTGAAGTACTTAAATCCCACTATATGGAAAAAAACAGAGAATTTATTTAATTTTGAGCTGACATTGCTCAAATGAATTATTTCAAGAAAATTCAAGACACTGCTAAGGCACAATAATTTCCCCTGATAGTTTTTTTAAGACTTTATTCCCAATCCAGATTTAACAAACTAATCTTTTCTTTTTTTTGAGACAAGAGTTTCATTATGTCGCCCTTGGTAGAGTGCTGTGACATAACAGCTCACAGCAACCTCAAACTCTTGCCTCAGCCTCCCAAGTAGCTGGAACTACAGGCACCCACCACAACGCCCAGCTACTTTTGAGCAGTCATTGTTTGGCAAGCCCCCACCAGCTCCACTGTATGTGGCTGGCACCCCAGCCACTAAACCAATTTCTAACTAATTAAATCACTTGTGATCACCAGGATTTTCTTGATAATACTCATTTTAAAAATTAGCCCACAATAACACTATAATAAATCATTTAAAAATTACCTCTTTAAGTATCTCAAGAATGGAAGAAGAAGTATCCAATGTACTCAGCCCTACTATGAAACTAATTTATAGCTTTCATAGGAAAGCTTTAAC